GGGTGGGGGGGGGGGGGGGAGGGTGTTATTGAGCTTGAATGTTAGCATGTAAAGTTAGGAGGTTTAGGGTTTGAATGTTAGAATGTGAAATTAGGAGGTAGGTCAAGGAGTTCTTTGCAGCTGATTGTGTAGTGCTGGTTTCTTTAAATCCCTAGGTTGCACTGTTGCCTTGTCTTGCATTTTTTCGTTATAATTCAAACTTCAAAGATTATGTTTTTATTCAGTTCAGTTAGTTGTTAAACTTGGTTTGTTTCACATAGGCACACCGGGGGGAGGGCGTTGTTCTGTTGTTGGATAAATACTGAACACTTCCGCAAAATACAAGTCTTCATATCTTGCCGCCTATAATCAAAATCATAAGAAGCTGCTTCACTGTATGAGCCTTTCCTTTCAATGTTCCCCTAGAACTGGAAACAAGTTATTCCAAAGGAAAGGAGCTACATGACTATTTAAAAGCAATTAAAGGTCTCCCTCTGTTCCAATGTAGATTTGCAAATAACAAACATCTTAGGACAAAGAGCTGTGTGCTTAAAAAAGAAAAATTTCAGTTCCTTTCTTCATGTTTGTTGGTGGAAGTCCAAAGAGACAGTTTTATTTTTTTTATCAGTGACAATAACCTATCTTAAACTTGAAACACGATGCATAAATACTTTGTAGTTTGTACTTTAATCTTCATTTTGTGGCTATAGATTGACTGGCTTAGTTTGAATACCTTCACACACATGCATGCAATTACACAGGATTAGAAGGAAGTTGTTTCTGATAGATTTTATGCAGATGGTGGCAACATTGGATTGAATATGTGAACCAAGACCAGACAAACACTATGTATGATGGATCTTCCTTATCAGAACATTATGATTTGGCCAATTCAAGTGCTTTAAAGAGGCCAGCTGGTATTGATAATTCTGATTTGATAGATGATGCTGTGTCAGAGGACTCTAGTATGGGTATTGAGATTCATGATACTCTTTTAGAAGGTCGTGACTATGTATTACTTCCCCAAGAAGTTTGGAACCAATTATTTAGATGGTGAGATTTTTTACTTTTCACGCAGGTCTTCTATGGTTCATCTAATGTGTGATAAGTGCCATATTAAATTTATGATTTTCTTTTGAATTTCTTGATTTTCATGGTTTTTGAAGAAACTCTATAAATTGAAACAAACTTATAGATGACTAATCCTTTAACTGGGATTTAATGAGCTGTTTGACTTTTTATTTCCTGCTTGACTAGGTATGGTGGTGGACCTACATTGGCAAGGAAAGTTATTAGTTCAGGTCTTTCCCAGACTGAATTGACAGTAGAGGTGTATCCTTTACGGCTTCAATTACTTATGTTGCCAAAAAATGATCGTTTTGCTATAAGAATAAGCAAGAAGGTAAGATGCGAGAGAAAGTAATGAGTCATGATAATTGATAAATATATCTTTAGCATCTCTTGCCATTCCTTAGCAAGTATAAGAGCATGTTTAGGTACAAGCCTAGAATGGCTTTTAAGAGTTTCTCTAATGGGAAATACACTTTATTTTCAGTAGAGAAGCTCTCAAAAGTCTTTCTAGACTGTATCCAAACAGGTTCTAATTCAGTTTATACATGCTACATCTACCTTAGAGTTGAGAATTGAGATATTTTGGGCAGGAAACCATTGGACAGCTTCACAGAAAAGCTTGTGAAATATTTGATCTTCAGCCAGACCAAGTAAAAATTTCATGGTTTTTTCTTGAAATTCTATTTTTTTTTTAAGTTTTTATTTTTATTTTTTAAATTTTTTATTCAGCATGTAATGAAAAATAGCCACCTCTATTATAGGTGTGTATTTGGGACTACTATGCCCGTCGGAAGCATGCTTTGATGAATGACATGGACAAAACTCTCGATGATGCTAATTTACAAATGGACCAAGATGTGAGTCTTCACTAAGTTTTATATAGGAATGTTCCTCTTGCTTGTGCTTTCACATTTCAATGTATCACTCTTGTTTTACTTTTGATTAATGATAACTTTCATACAGATTCTTGTTGAAGTCATCAACAATACAAACAACACAAATATTTCTCAAGAAAATGGGTCTGCACAGAGGGAAGCGAATTCTGTTCTTGTGGAGCCTTCAAAATCAATCTTATCAATTGCTGGTGGCTTATCTGCTAGCAAAGGTTCTGCATCTAAAGGCTACAACATGGACCTTTCTTCATCTCAGAACCTAAATTCCCCAGTTAGAGATGTGGAAAACCCTTATGGAACCAGTGGTGTCACCACAAGGGGTTCATTTGGTAGTCTCACTGGGTTGCTGAATCTTGGCAATACTTGTTACATGAATAGTGCGATTCAGTGCCTTGTTCATACACCGGAATTTGCTAGGTACTTCAGGGAAGACTATCATCAAGAAATAAATTGGCAAAATCCATTAGGCATGGTTGTAAGTATCATCTAAAAGCTGTAAGCATGAACTTGTTTCCTTTTCTTTCCATAATTTTATAAGGGATACATTCTAGAAAAAGAATTTGGTTTAGAGATAAAAGATTATTTCTAGAATTAGTTACATGTTAGGCTTTAGGGTGAAGGCAAATGAATGATTTCATATTTAACATGGTCCCTCACACCAGAGACATTTGGATTTCAAGTGTAAGAATTTTATATATTAAGCTCACTTACCTAGTACTTAATTTCGACTTATTTGTTTTAGAAGAATGGGATCGGTAAGGATCAAACTCTAGACCACTTGGTCTCGAAAATTCTAATACTGTCATAAACCATTTATTTCAAAAGCTTAAGCTTTAGGGTGAAGGCAGGTTTTATATTTAACAAGGCTTAAGTTCATTTTTGATCCTTCCAATTGCTTCAATTTGAATAACATCATCTTCCTATTTGTTCAAATTGAAATCTAGAGGGAAAAACATATTCCCCCCTGTTGTGATTCAGGATTTGTGTGGATTGTTGTACACACACCAATCTTATTTATAGAGAGAATACAATAAATGATAGAGATACTAATCTCTAATATTATGGAAACTAATCTAATCATATCCCTAATTGATAGTGAGGATAATAACCATAATATATGTATCCACAATATCTGTAATATATATCCACAATATCTGTAACACTCCCCCTCAAGTTGGAGCATATATATCATATGCACCAAGCTTGTTACAAATGTAATTAACCCGAGGCCCTTTAAGCGATTTTGTGAACACATCTGCTAACTGGTCACTGGAGCGAACGAATTTAGTGGTGATCTCTCCTGAGAGCACTTTCTCTCTTACAAAATGACAATCTATTTCTATGTGTTTAGTCCGCTCATGGAAGACTGGATTGGAGGCAATGTGGAGAGCAACTTCATTATCATAGATGAGTTTAGTACCCTGAGTGTCTCCAATTTGAAGTTGCTTGAGAAGTTGTTGTAGCCATGTAATTTCACTTACAGCTACTGCCATAGCACGATATTCAGCTTCCATAGTGGATCTAGCAACTGTAGTTTGCTTCTTGCTTCTCCATGAAATTAGGTTGCCTCCAATTAGAACACAATAGCCAGAGGTAGACCTTTTGTTTGATGGTGATCCTGCCCAATCAACATCTGAACAACAGACAATTTTGGAATTGCCTTTGTCCTCGTATAGTAGTCCTCGGCCCGGTGCCTTCTTGACATATCTAAGGATCCGCATTGCTGCAGTCCAATGACTATCACAAGGATCGTTAATGAATTAGCTTACCACACATACTGGGAATGCGATGTCTGACCTGGTGACAGTAAGATAGTTATGTTTGCCAACAAGTCTACGATATCTTTCTGGGTCATCCAATGGCTCCCCCTGACCCGGAAGAAGCTTGACGTTGGGATCCATCGGAGTATCACTAGGGCGGCAGTCAACCTACCAGTCTCGGTGAGAATGTTCAGAGTATATTTTCTTTGGAAAATTGCAATACCAGAAGTGGAGTGAGCAACCTCAATTCCCAAAAAATATCTAAGTGGACCAAGGTCTTTCATCTGAAATTGGCGTTGAAGGTGAGATTTGAGGCGACAAATACCATCAGAGTCATCACCAGTAATGACAATGTCATCAACATACACCACTAAATAAATACAAAGTCCAGATGAGGAGTGAAGGAAGAAAACAGAGTGGTCAGCCTCACAGTGATTCATACCAAACTCAATCAAGGCGGAGCTGGAACGTCCAAACCAAACACGAGGAGATTGTTTCGAGCCATAAAGAGAACGACGAAGGCGACAAACGAGGTGAGTCTCACTAGAAGCAATAAAGCCAGGGGGCTGGTCCATATAAACCTCTTCTTGCAATTCACCATTTAAAAAAGCATTTTTAATATCCAATTGGTGTAGTGGCCAATGATGAATTACAGCCATAGCAAGAGACAAGCGAACAGACGTCATCTTGGCGACAGGGGAGAAAGTATCCCCATAATCTAGGCCATAGATTTGAGTATAGCCCTTTGCAACCAATCTCGCTTTAAAGCGGTCAATGCTACCATTCGATGCAACTTTCACTGTGTACACCCATCGACAACCAACGGTAGACTTGTCAGGTGATAAAGGTACCAACTCCCACGTGCCACTAGTCTGCAAAACATCCATTTCATCCAGCATTGCTTGTCTCCACCGAGAATCAGCCATAGCTTCACCTGTAGACTTGGGGATAGACACCGAATCCAAAGAGGAAACAAAAGAAAAGTAGGAAGGAGATAATCGATGACAGGAAAGAGTACAAGCATATAAAGGATGAGGATTGCGGGTAGATCGAATACCTTTATGAATGGCAATGGGCAACTCAGGCAAAGGATGTTTAAGTGCAGGAGGCGTTGTCAGAGAGTTGGTTGGAGCAGAAGATGAAGCTGGGGGAGCTGTATATGGAACCACCTGTAGATGTCGTGTCCTACGCTGATAGACAAGTAATGGTGGTGGATCAGTTACTATAGCCGGAGCCGGAGTTGGAATAGTAGGTTGATCATCCAAAGAAGTATGACTAGTAATATCCTTAGAAAAGAAAGGAGAGGATGACTCAAAGAAGGAAACGTCAGCGGAAACAATATAGCGTTGAAGTTGTGGCAAAAACAATGATACCCTTTTTGGAGTCGAGAATACCCAAGAAATATACATTTGAGAGACCTAGCAGAGAAATTATCTTTACCTGGAGTGAGATCATGGACAAAACATGTACATCCAAAGACACAAAGTGGAATAGGATAGAGATCATTTTGTGGATACAAGATGGTGTATGAGATTTGATTGCTGAGAACAGAGGAGGGCATGTGATTAATCAAGTAACAGGTAGTAAGAATCGCATCACCCCAGAATTGAAGTGGAACTTTATGATGAATGAGAATAGTACGAGCTATCTCAACCAAATGACGATTTTTGCGTTCAGCTACACCATTTTGCTGTGGTGTGTGGGCACAAGAGGTCTGATGAAGAATACCCTGGGAGGAAAGAAAAGACTGGAATTTGGAAGAAAAATACTCTTTTGCATTATCAGTGCATAAGATTTTGATAGATTGACCAAATTGAGAAGCAATTTCAGTGAAAAAACTTCGAAAAATGTGAAAAACATCAGAACGGTGATACCATGTTGTGATTCAGGAATTGTGTGGATTGTTGTACACACACCAATCTTATTTATAGAGAGAATATAATAAATGATAGAGATACTAATCTCTAATATTATGAAAATTAATCTAATCATATCCCTAATTGATAGTGAGGATAATAACCATAATATATGTATCCACAATATCTATAATATATATCCACAATATCTGTAACACCCCCTAAAGTTAGGAGGTCCATTAATGCATTTAAGTGTAGCCCAAAGTCTTAATTTGTGGGTGTGAATGTTCCTTTTTAAATATCTCATTCCTGTATAGAAGTGACAAGATTTTTTTATTATAAATTTTTTAATTTAATTTTAATTTTTTTTATATCTATTATTCTGTTATTCATTGAAACTTGGGTTATATTTCATTTTTGAAATGAAAATACTTGAGTTCTAGTCTGGTATCTATCATTTATAAAAATGGTCTCCAATGTACCATTTGGAAGAGTTATTATCTTAGTTATAAAATCATTTTGTCTTCATATTTGCTCAAATTCCAGCTTCAATAGGATTGAGCTTTTTGTGCATTACGGTGCCATCCTTCAATGACTTGGGGTGTGTTTGGATTACTGTTGGATGCATCTCAAATGGACATTCCCACTTTCCAAGGGACTAAACCAGAAGTAACACTCTTTTGTCGTTGTGTGTAACAATTGTTTACATTGGAGGAAACTGTTTCCAAACACACTTGGTTTCGTTGGGGAATGATTTTTATTCAACCATATGATAATTGTTATGTTATAATTAAGAAGTATTGTTCTAAGTGGAAGTTGCCACTATGTAGGGTGAACTAGCCCTGGCATTTGGTGATTTGCTTCGAAAACTATGGGCACCTGGGAGAACACCAATCGCTCCTCGGCCTTTTAAAGCAAAGCTTGTTCGCTTTGCACCTCAGTTCAGTGGGCACAATCAACATGATTCTCAGGTTTGCCCATTAACTGTAAACTTTACCCTCTCTTCAACTTCTATGGTGTAGTCTGTGTTAACATTTGTTTTATTCTTTTCAGGAGCTTTTAGCATTTCTTCTGGATGGTCTTCATGAAGACTTGAATCGTGTAAAGCACAAACCATATATAAAGTCTCGAGATGCTGATGGACGACCTGATGAAGAAGTGGCTGATGAATATTGGGCAAATCATATTGCTCGCAATGACTCCATAATTGTTGATGTATGCCAGGTGAGTCAAATGAGTAATTAGTAAGTTTTGGTAATGTGTTATAGTTAATGGCTTAATATCAGCTTGTATGAAACAACTTTAACTTGCATGGTGAACTGGAAATGCTGCATAGAATGTCATGTTACAAATATTAATATAAAGGATTCAAGATGATTCAATATGTGTGTACAAGCACACACAAATGGTGTTACAATCATAATGTTGCTAAATTGACTTCTCATTCAATTGGTAAAGTTCTTTTGTCTTGATACTGCATTACACATTATTGGGGTAGGTTCCCCATTGTGTATTGCTTTCTTATTTTAGATTTAATGTTTCAACTGAGCCTCTATCATAAAATTTGGGTTTTGCAGCTTGAATATTTGTTTACAGCTAATCTATATCCTGCATTTAGATTTTCTTATGCCATTCAATCCTATGTTCTATTAACCCTTTTGTATCTGTATCTTTGCTACTTTAAGATATGATTTCAGATCTCTTATTCTCTCCCTTCAGATAATCTTTCTTAATATTCTGAAAATTCTGCGCTTAGGTGTCTAGATATCAACATTTTGGAAACCTTTTTTCATGATTCCTTGTCAGCTATCTTTCAATTAAATATAATTCTTCCCTCACAAACTCAATATTTTCCTTTTCATTTAACTTCTTCTCTTGTTTCTGATTCATCCAGCTCCTAATCTTTACTTGTTGCTACAATAAATAATAAACAGCCTTGGTCCTAAAGTAGCATTATTAGAATTTATTTGGGATTATTATAAACAGCCTTTATCTGTACTGACTTTTCCTCAGACTTCTTGCTTTTAAAATTTTTCAAGTTCCGTTATGAGGTGGAGGAATGGGGAAACCTGCGTATGTGGTGGGATAACCATTCAGAAATTGATGATTCTAAATTTGATTGGTTAAAGGGTTGAAGCTTTATGGATTATTTTGTTTGAAGTGGTAAAAATGAATCTAGGAGGGGTGAAATTTACTGGGAAAAAGATGTGGAATTATGATGAATGTATTGTGCATAAAAAGGCAGGTTTAGATTATTATTATGACAATGATCATTCTTCTTAAGAATGTAGTGAGCTGTTGCTCTTAAAATACAATGGACAAAACTTGGGTACAATTTTTTAGGTGTGGTTGGTGTTGTTCTTCAATCAGAATTAGGGATTTACTTCGATAATATGCATTTGTATTTATTGTTGATCTCATTAATATACATTTATGCATATTACCGAGATAAATTTCAATTTTGGTTGAAGATCAACACCAATCACACCTAAGAAACTTTATATAAGTTTTCTCCAAATACAATATGCTAAGGGGTATGCATATCTTATCGCAACAGTAACAATGGACAAGAGTCCAAACATCAAACCCAATGAAATAAACATCAATGACCAATCTAATAGAAATTCTTAATTGCTTAACTGGTATTAATTTTTAATGGAGAAAGTGTTACCATAATTAAGAGAAACTCAATTTCAGAATGAGAGTTTAAAGTAGATTGAAATTTGATGCTTCAGGAAACCTTGGGTTTCTACTTTAGACTATTCTTAATTCTCCCAATCCTAAATTAATTGAAACCTAGACGCAATTGTCAATCCTGTTTCTCAGTCTTAGATGGCTAATTACTTTTATTAATTGAAATTCGGAGTCTTTACTTCACATGAGTCCCTAAATTGGTTGTATGGAAATTTATACAAAGCAAAGCATGAAGAACAAAAAGGTAGGTTAAATAAATTAAATTGATTAAAAGTTCAAAACACGAGTTTGGTCATGCAAGCTCCTAAACTCAATTGTCTTGTAGATCCGTTAGTTAATAGATATGGGTCATGTCTTATTAATTAACCAACAAAATACTCAGACTGATCATTTCTTTGTCCAAAATTAAAAGGCCAAAATAATCCAATAAAAAATAGAAAAGGTCCAACTCAATTTAGCATTAGGGATCAAGGGTTCAAACTGCATTGCCACCATAGTTTGTAATTTAGCCAGGCATAATGGAAATGGAAAATGGAATTACAAGAAGAGACATTGAAAAATTAAGAAAGGAAAAGAACCAGATGGTACCTCTTCTCAATCCTCAAGTTGCCATGATCACTCCAAAATCCTCTTCTCCTCAAAGCTCTCAGCTGCACTCAAATATCTCTTTTTGTGATAAAAATCAGAACCCTTTTTAATTCGCCCTCTATCCTATTTATAGGATATTAAAATTTGCAAGCTTCAACATGATCGTGTTGCAAATTAGCATGATCGTGCTTCTTAGCATGATCGTGCAAATTTGCTAGCTTCAACACGATCGTGCTTCATAGCGTGATTAATATCTGAAGTGAAGATCTTTAAAACCAAGCACAACCATGGTACAATCCAGCACGACCATGCTCCACTGCATGAGTGACTGCTCCTTTTTCTGAATGGGCGGTCTAGCTCAGTATGGCTGTGCTAATGTCAGCATGGATGCGCTCCTCCTTTATGACTGTTTTCTTCTATAAATTGACTGTTATTTTTTCCAATACTGCTCAAGTACCTGACTGTTGCACACTTTACACAAAAAAATGTGGGTTCTGCCAACAACTTTATGTAATAACAAGACAAAATCACTAATACTTTCCCATCAAAAGTGCAACAATTAGGGGTTGAACATGAAATTCACAAAAAATACTGTAGATTATCCAGAGGGAGGGGCTATTATATGATGACAAACTAATGGTGTTTTCTTGCTAGTGTAATTTTTATACTATGCATATTTGACTTATGGCTTCGCTGCTACTCTTATGCAGAAACTTCAATTAAGAAAATGTTTAATGATGATAATGTTTGTTCATGATATAAACTATAGTTTCTTGATTATCCACTAATTGTTTATGTATTATATCTATTCTTATTTTATATGTTCCTGATCAAGTTCAACTTGGATATGTTTCTGATGATTCTTCATTTCATAGGGACAATACAAGTCAACTTTGGTTTGTCCAGTTTGCAATAAAGTTTCTGTAACATTTGATCCTTTTATGTACCTTTCCCTTCCACTCCAGTCCACCACCACCAGGACCATGACAGTGACAGTTTTTGCTTGTGATGGGAATGCCCTTCCATCTCCATGCACAGTAACTGTCCCTAAGCAGGGACGATGCAGAGATCTCATCCAGGCACTTAGCAATGCTTGCTCATTGAAGCATAATGAGAGGCTATTGCTTGTGGAGGTGTGTAGAATAGAAGTTAAATGTGTTGGAATTATTGCATATATCTTATTCTAATTGAGTTTGTTATATCAATATGCTATTCACAGATAAGAAACCATTTGATCCATAGATATTATGAAGATCCTCTTCTATTGTTATCTAGTATCAAAGATGATGACCGTCTTGCTGCTTACAAGATTCCAAAGATAGACAAGAACACAAAATATCTCCAGTTGATACATCGTCGAAGAGAGCAGTATGTAATTTTAAAATTTATATTATATGCTTACAGTAGTTACATTTGCCAAAGGGTTGAATCTGCTTTGTCATATTAGTACATATAATGCTAACTCTTCTCTCTTGCTATAGCATTATCTTCCTTTACAATCTCGGGGATTCAGGAAAACAGTCTGTCATGGCTAATAACTATAATAAAGTATTTTCTGGTGTTGATTTGATCTGTGTCTGTTTGTTTGGTCTGGATCTGTTAAAATTTAAATTGAAGTCATTTGGCCGCATATATGTCATCTGGGCCTTAAAACATCAAATGGGCCATAATTTTATATGTTGTTTGCTAAACTGCTTTCTGATATATTGTTACAATTTTCTCAGGAGTAGTGACTCACACATCATATCTGGATGGAAACCATATGGAACACCTATTGTTTCATTGATTTCATGTGATGATACAGTCACAAGAGGTGATATACAAGTTATAGTTAATCGTATTCTCTCTCCTCTGCTAAGGAAAGGTAGCAATGTAGAACAAGCTACTAATTCTGAAGCAAGCATCCAAAAAGCTGCATCTGATCAATCCAGTTTTACTTCTGATGATGCATATGCTGCCAACATGGTGTCAAATTCAGTAAATAAGGATTCTACCAATTCAAAGTCATCACCAATGCCAACATTACCTCTTCTCTTGGTAGATGATAACAATGCTTGCATTGATCTTTCAATGGGAGAGGAGAAAGTAGTTAAACTGTCACCTTCGTCATCAAAAGTATTAGTGTATATTGATTGGTCTCAGAAGCTTCTGGAGAAGTATGATACTCATCCACTTGAGACTTTGCCTGAAATTTTAAAATATGGGCCTGTAACCAAGAAAGCTCGTACTGAACCTCTCTCCTTGTACACCTGCTTGGAAGCTTTCCTGCGTGAAGAACCTCTGGTGCCTGAAGATATGTGGTTAGTTCATCATGCAGCTCTCTATTCTCTCTTCACATCTTTCTTTCTCATGCATAATGAGCATTCAAGTGGCATATGCATTAATAATTGTGTGCTAGATCTGTTAATGACCTGTATAAATTGTGTTTCCTAAAACTTCCACGAATTTGTACAATAGAAAAATCATACATATGAGACTGAAACTAATGGTTGTGACTAGTAACATGTTTCTTGCCCGAAGAGTTATAGTGAATTAAGTGTAGTTTTTATGGTCGATGACGTTGATGTTTCTGACATGAGGTGACGAAGTAAGGTAAGAACAGCCAAACTTTATAAAAATTATACTAGCTATATCTCTAGTTGATGTGGGATCTTAATCTCTTGAGAGCTGACTGTTAAGGATGGGAATATGTTAGGCCTCAAACAGGGTCCTCTGGCTGGTATCTTGCAAGTTTGGCCTGTTTTTTAATAAAAAACTCAGGTTTAGACTTTTAAAAAAAATCTATTTATTTAAAAATATTAGACTGACTTATAAAAAAGTTTGTTAGATCTAATAGACCAATCTATTTATCTATATAATATAATAAAAATTAATATACATATATTATTAATAATATAAATAAACAAATAATTGTATTAGTATTAAACTGATTGTATTGAATAATTGTGTTATCTTTTTAAATTACTAAATTTTGCTACAGTTATACCGATAATCTAAATGAGTATTATCATAGTTATTTAAATTTTTTAAAATAGGAGTTGATTATTGAAAGAATGTCAAATGAGATAATTGATTTAATTAGAAATTTTTTTTATTTAAAAAAAGTAACCCCATTTACCATAGCCTGCGTTTGAGTGTACGTCAATATACATGGTTGGTTGTATGAGCCGCCCCTTTAACATAAAGTAATTTCATCTATTTTCTTTTTGTGGCATTGTATATGAACTCGGTACCCTTAGATCACCTCATGCACAATAAGTATTTTTTTAGTTTGTAAATTGTTATCATAACTATTTTAGTTTGTTAAAATATGAGTCGGTTATTTACAATATACTAAATTAGATATAGGAAACATTTAAAATATTTTTTTTATATAGTTATCCTTTTCTATTACAGATTTATAGACTTATGGCATGTACTTAAGTGTACACCAACATACGTGATTGCATATAAATTGCCCCTTTAATAGAAAATGATTCACTTTTTTCCCTCTTTGTAGTATTGTATATATTTAAAAATTTAAATTTTAATAATATTGAATAAATTATATTTTATCACACATTAAAAAATAACTCGTATTTAAAAATAAATTTGTTGACTTTTTAAAAATTAAGTTTATTGGCCCAATTAATATTATTAATATAAAATAAACTTTTAAATAGTTTAATAGGTTTGACCAGACTTTAAAAAGGCTAAACCATGCCTATAAAAAAAGTCTATGATAGATAATAGATCAAACTTAACTTTAATTTTATAGAACAGACTCGGTCTATATATTCAAAATCTGATCTAACTTGACCTATTCCTATCCTTACTGGCCATTATGAGGGTTGCACTTTACAATGCTTCACTCAACCTTGTTAGCTCCTCCACGTGTAGGCTTTTTTCAGACACCGACAATAAACTGTGATAATCCACAATTAAGGCAGCCTAGGGGTGACCCATGACCAAAATTAAGGCAGCCTTGTAGCAGAATTTACTAAAAAAAGTCTTCAGGAATCTTAAATCATAAAACATTTCATCTGGAAAACCCAATTGAGACATTATTATTAGTTTGTGTTCTTTATTTGCGTTCTTAATTGTTATATTTTTTAAGCTATGTGATATCAGATATGTATAAACATTGTAAAATGTTTTTATACCAATTTCAACCTTTGAATAAAGGACTATATGTACTTGTCACTTTGCTTAAAGCTACCGAAATCTCATGATGAGCAATACTGTGCAAGTGTAATTGCTTCAGAATTAGTTCTTAAAAAATTTCTCCATTTGCATATATAAAATTAATACCTGAATGTCAATGGCTAATATTATATTTATCTAAATCTGACATAGGTACTGTCCTAAATGCAAAGAGAGACGACAAGCAAGCAAGAAGCTTGATTTGTGGAGGCTCCCAGAGGTTTTGGTCATTCATTTGAAGAGGTTCTCATACAGCAGGTCAATGAAGCACAAACTGGAGACTTTTGTTAACTTTCCCATTCATGATTTTGATTTAACTAATTACATAGCCAACAAAAACAACTCTCGCCGTCAACTGTATGAACTATATGCCCTGACAAATCATTATGGTAGTATGGGTAGCGGGCATTACACTGCACATATCAAGGTAAATGAGAAATTTCAAACCTTTGAAGTTGCTTTGATTTTTTGTCTACAGCTCAGCACCTAGAATGTTCTTCCTTTGAACAATGCTGCATCCTGATTCATATTTTCCAAATGTGCAGCTTTTAGATGAGAACAGATGGTACAATTTTGATGACAGCCACATATCACCCATAAGTGAAGATGAGGTCAACACTGCTGCTGCCTATGTTCTATTTTACCGGAGGGTGAAGACTGATGATGCAACTGTTAGTAACGGGGCTTAGTCTTTCATGTTGGCAGTTTTATGTATAAAGTAGATGTCAAGAACATACCTGGTTATTCCAGAAAAGTTTTAGGAAGAGGTAGGTGAACAATTTCAAATGTATGCGTCAATTTAGGGATTTTTATTTACTGTATGGAAAGGCACAAACCTGTTGATACAAGAGTGTATTTCAATGAAATCATTATTGATGTAATTCTCTCCTTCCTCTATTTACTTTGTTTTTGGAGTTTCTTTTGGGGGAGGGGAGGTGGAAGGTTGAATGACACCCTAGGGTTTTGGTAACAAGTGTCAACAATTTGCTTAAGGGTTTGTTTGGATAAACTTCTTCAAAAATACTTTTGAAAGAAAAAAATAAGAAGAAAAAATAAATCAAGCTTTTTCATAAGTTAAATTTTGCTTATTTACAAGTTAATTTTTAATATTTGGAGATATTATATGAGAGAGTTTTAATAAATTAGTTTATGCATAAGATAATTTTAATGTAAGGAGAAGTTTATTTTATTTTTTTTCATATTTTTTAGAAGTATTTTTAGAAAAGTTTATCCAATTAGGTACTAAGTTGTTTACATGTTCAAAACACTTGTTTAAGCTGTTTACTAGCAAGTAGCAACTTTGCACCACTATGCAATTTTTATCTCGTCTTTTTTAAAAACATTTGACCTTTCTGGAATACTCAGCATTCTGCATCCTTATATTGCCAAGTCAATGTGATGATATTGCTAAAGGCTTTGTAGGTGAAACTAATGACGGAGTTATTGACAACACATAACAAGTGACTCTGGTGTGGCCTGAAAGAGAGGGTTCTACATTTGGGTCCATCTGATGCCTTCCTCTTATTTCAGTATTAGAGATCCAAATGGTTTAAGCATGCTGTGGGATGTAGTTGTCATGGATTTTCGATGTATTTGGAGTTTTCTTTTTTGCGTATATGAAGTCCCAGTCGCATCATTGTGACATTCCTCAATTGTAAGAGTCAACAACGTTTAGCATAGGTTGGATTTAGCAACTAATTCATCAATTGTAGCTGTTTACTACTCTACTTGATGAATTTGGACTAATGTAAAATTCAAAACTGAACAATAGTAATGGTGGTAAATTTGACTCTTATGGCATACTCTCAAAAGTAAAACATACAATTTCAACAAAAAGAAAATTCAGTCAATATTATAACTATCCATTCTATTCCCTAAAATAAATTTCTTATGTGAGGTCGAAGTATGACAGTTTTAAGCAATTTTAATACTTTTACATGATTTAGTGATTTAAGTTTCACAGTAGTGCCAACTGGCATTATCTATCTCTAGCTATTTGAAGGGAGTTATCATGTCCAACGGCTGAATAACATACCACAATCAACTCATCTAAATCCAATCTATATGATAATAATTAATATGTAATGAACTCGATAACAAGATAAAATGAATAGTGAAATATATGTGGATATTATTAAATCCAATAGCCAATGTCCGATTAATCCAGAAATTGAAAATTACATAAATGTTAGAAATGATGAAATGCCACAAGGGTACATAGAGAGAAAAGCAGAAATGAGAGAAAAGAAATACACCACTTCCCCCTTCCCATATTCTCTAATAGAATATATTATCATCCTTCTCTCAACTTCCACTTAACATGTCTCATATGTGTGCTGTGACGAATGTTGTTATCAGCTATATTCTTCTTTTGCATATCCTTTCCAGCATCCAACTCATCTTCCACAGGATATCCATTATTTGTAACATAACATTGAATTGAAGGATACTGTGATAATTTTAAAATGGTTGTCGTATTATGTAATCCTAGAACATCTATTCTCAGTAAAAGTTTCTCGCTGTTCCTAAACAGGCTAAAGAGTACTCTATACAGAATTAAATACTTTTGAGTTTAATAATGATTTTGCACTCAACATGTCAACTAATCATCAGTATAACCTTAGTTTTGAGTTTTGTGACTATATAAGTCATGATTCGTTGTCACTATAATGTAAAGTTATATTTTTAATATTCTTTTTATAAAATGTAAATTTTATAGATTTAATAATTGTATTTGATCATTTATTAATTAATTAAGCATACTAAATTTTATACAATTCTAAAATTATTTGATAATTTATCATATTTTATTTTAACGTATAAAATGATATTCAAAATATATATAAATATCTAAAAGAGTAAATATTATGTAAAATTTGATATGCATGATAAATTTAATATTATAAAATACAATAATTAAATTAATTAAATTTATATTCTATAAAAAAATATTAAAAATATAATTTTACTAATTTGAGAACATGATATCAACATCTCGTATTTCATATACTATATATTCTAACATGACTATATTCTACTAGTCTACAATAGGTCAAATTTAGTATTGAAACCATTAAAATAAAGCTTCCTTTACTTCAAGCAATTAGCCACTAACATTTTTAAGGCCACATCATTGTCTATTTAACGGCCGTGCACGGTTCAAATTTTTTTTTTTTTTTTTAAATTGGATTTAACTAAATAGGATTATTTTATAAAATAATTCAGTTAATCGGATTTTTTTTTATAAAATGGATCAATTAGTTTTTTTTACTCTTTAAAATGATTGGATTTGATTCAGTTCAATTATTCACTATATATTCATATAAGGTTCGATTGTTTTAAAACATCAAGTCGAACAAAACAATTCTCAAAACAGTTCGGTTTCGTCATATAAGGTTCAATCCAGTTTTGTTAATATCGAACAATTTTCACAAAGGTTCAGTTTGCTTTTTATTCCTCAAAATAATTCACTTCGATTTTTTTTCCACAATCCTAACTCTTTTTTCCCTGTGAGTTTGTTAGATCTTTTCAGTTTAGTGCTTGCCCATTAATTAATTGGATTGGGAAAATTAAATGTTCATCATTTTTTTTTTTCAAATGAGGTGTTATGGGCTCTTGTTAGTATATATAGGTCAAAGGGATGTGATGGAGACGGGCTCCAATATTTTTGTCTCTTTATTTTATATCTATTTTTATTTTCGTATTTGATAGATATGAAATTTGTGTCGTATTCATGTAATATATTCATATTTGCTCAAAAATTAATTAAATATTTTTTATAAAAAAAATAAAAAATAAGAATTTTGACATAAGATAATAATTACAAAATTAATTAATTAAGTTTCATTTGACATAAAATTAAAATATAGTAAGAATTATATAAATATTAAGTAAATTCTAAAAAAATAAATTAAGTTTTTAGAAATTTAAAGCGGAGGTGAACACGAGTACATGTATGAGATGAGTAAATATATATCCATTCTTGTTTCTGTATTGAATATTATTCATACCCACATCTATGCTTGTTTAAATCGAGTATTCTCCATTAAAGTCGAAGCGAGTATTCATATGTATAAGTTTATTTGTAATCCTTACATAGTCACATTCATGTATGTTCTCATGAAGTCATAATAAAAGTAAGAGTAAGGATATTAATGACAAAGACCAATATATTGAGAATGCTAAGAAAAATAAGCGTAATACTTCTGAAATATGAAATTATTATGAAAAAAGTCGGTCTAAGGAATAAATACAAATGTAATGATTATGAAAAATTTTACACATATAAAATTATTACATGTTTCATGACAACATATAATATCAATTAATCATGTTATAATTTTTTTTTATTTTTTTTCCATTTGATATTAGATCTTGATTCAATTTTTTGAGGTTATACAATATGATGCACTCAATAATGCACTTAACTTCACATGAATGTTCTAAAGAATTTTTTTTATTGCAATGTGACTAATTCTAAGTGTAATGATATCTATCCAATGGAATGCAATATCACGAGTATATGAAATTAACAAATGATACAATTACATTTCAACTTATTACCACAATATCAATATCAATTATCAAGGAATTCGATCCATGTCAAGATTCAAAGCTAATCCGCAATTCAATCAGTTTAAATTGAGATGAAGATAAATCCAGTTTAAAGTCACAATTAAACACAAGAATTAAAGAGTTTAGAGTTTAGAAGAAATTTCGCAAGCAATTTATATTTGTTTACCACTTTACCCTTTACTACCAAGAACGACATTCAATTTCTAATTCAATAATTGGATTGTCCTCTAAAATTACAATCAAGCTACCTTACTTGATGTGTCTTGGGATACCTCACTCGATTCCTAACCTTGGAATACCCCAATCCATAACGTTGCTTAAGAATCCTCACCCAAGCTTCAAAATACAAAAATTAAAAATTAAAAGTGCAACAAAAATGAGAATGCATAAACTTAGTGGTTAAAGATTATCAATCGAGCCTTTAATTATCTATTTTGACAAAGTTTCTTCATTGCAAATTGCTAATTTCGTATGTTAAAATTATGAAAATTAAAGAACCCCTTACATAGAATCAATTAGGTTTTGAAATAGAGTTAAACACCTATACACTATCAGTGTAAAATTTTTTTTACACTGGCAACCAATCATATCTTTTAATAATGTCATGTCATTTGCTTATTTAATCAAATTAAAATAAAAAAAACACACTATTAAAAGATATGATTGATTGTCAGTGTAAGAAAACTTTACATTGACTGTATAAGTGATTAACTCTTTGAAATATCTAGCATATATAGAGAAATTAAGTACTTTCAGTGATAATTAATTAATTACGTATACTTTTAGTTACACAGTCTCATGTAATTGATCGGTTGTATCATTTAATCATTGATCAATAAACTCTCAATTAATTGATTAAAGGGAAAATTTATTTTTTATACCCATAAATACTACAATGACTACATTAAAAGTTTATTTAGATAAATTTTTTAAAAGCATTTTTAGAAAAAAAAATCAAATAAATATTTTCAATAAATTAAAATTAACTTATACATAATTCTTTTTAACATCAAATTTATGTATAAATTAAAAATAAGATTCGTGAAAAGTTAATAAGAGAGAATTTCTACAAATTACCTTATGCATAAGTTAATTTTAACTTATAAAGAAACTTATTTTTATTTTTTCTCTTAAAAGTTTTTATGTAAAAGTCTATCTAAATAAATCCTAAGATTCAAATCCAAGAGTTTTTGCATACTATTCAATACTCTCTACAATTATGAACCAATAAATGAAGAGTACTCTTGTTTGAAGCATGACAAAAATATTATCATGCAATAAAATATGTTCTATAGTAATACAATACTTGTTACTAAAAATTATTTTTACCTACACATAGATATAATATACGTTGATATATTGCTAATTAAAAAGTGTATATATATGTTATAGTAACAAAAAATATATATTATTAAATCTCATTCAAAATTAATATTAAAATTATGTATAATTATATATATAAATATATATATATATATTATATTTATAGTGACATTCTTTATAT